GTCAAAAACTTTACAAATGGACAGAATTATATGAACACAGAAAAGCTGAGAGAAGGAATAAACAATTCAAGATGTTCCTTCCACCAAAGAGACAGCAAAGACAGCAGATGCAAACTTAAGCTTAGGTAAGCTTTGTAGTAGCTGCATAAGTATTCAGCCAATTTCCTTCTATCTACCTCTTTAATGTCATGGTACTGAAGGTAATTTATTTAAAGCTGAGTCAGGCCTGCCTAAGTTTGATGATAGCCTGCACAGCCTGGACCTTCCTGGTACCAGCTGACGTAATCACTGCTGTTACAGTGCTGAATGTAACCTTCATTCTGGTCATAGAGGCCAAAAAGTGTTGAATTCCTCAGCATGGCTCAACGATGGACACCAGTTATTAGATATGCACATGACACCACCATGAAAAGGGACAGTGTGGCAACTATGTAGGTTGCTGACACATACTCATTTAAAACATGAATCAAGTTAAAGTCTTTTCTAGGCTTTGAAATACTCAGAGTACATGTTCCTTGTCTATGTAGAGGGGATGCCAAAACTCTTTTTCTCATTTAAAGAGAAGCACCTGTTTCTCATTCAAAATAAAATTATGTCACACCACTTTGGCTATGGGAAAAAAATTCTTCTGAGGTTGGAATAGGTTATTTTTACCCACAAGTAAAGCTGTTTGCTTTGATAGAAAGTTTTTGCTGGCCATATTAGCCATAAGGCTCATGTCTTTGCCCTTGAGGAGGTCTCTCTGCATTTATTTAAAGGGCACATACGTATCCAATAGGACCAAGAATATTTATTGAAAGTGCTGAATATTTTACTTAATTGCTGATGTTAATAGAAAGGTATTTTGATAATGTCTTATCTGTAAATAACTGAAATTATATTGCTTCAGCTAAAAGGCTTTGATCATTAACTATTTTTGTGGAACCAGTAGAATAAGAAAAGACCCCTCTTTTTTTCTCTGTAAGTTAAACAACTGTGGTTTCTTTGAGACAACACTGACTTTTTGATTTTATATTGCAAACAGCAATATTAGTTGACCACTTCTTACTAGAATGAGATTATTGCAAAAGTATTTATTTAATTCCCATATATTTGGTATCATATGCTATAGTAGATAAGAATGCTGAATAGAAAACATCTCTATAGTATGTAAATTGAAATTGTTCAAACACACATATGTGTGTATATACATATATATGGTCCTACCTGCTAGCAGCTTTTCTAATAAATACATTAACATGTTAAAAAAGCAAAATGAAGTAAGTATAGGCACTTGTCATTTCTACATATGTTTCTGAAGAAACACAGGTCAAAACTAGTGTACATCAATTTGGAATGATTCTCAGCCTGTTAGCCAGGTCCTATCTGGACCTGGATTCATTCTTCTTTCATGAAAGGGAATCAAACCACAAGTGTGGTTATCAACAGCTGTTTGGTTTCCCAGATCTCCAGGTGAGGGTTCAAAATGCTACTATAGACTTTTCAATGTAGAAGTAAAATGATTTGCCAAAGAAAGCCATGGAGATGCAGGAATGGCATCACTAGGCTGATTCTGTTTTCTCTGACACCACAAAATTGAGCAGGATATCTGTACCAAACATCATTTCGCAGCTGTAGGAGTGACAGGTCCATAAGAAATCCTACTCCTAGCCTATTTAGAACTTCAAAAATTTAGAGTAAGGCTCTGAGCTGAACTCAGGAACAAGTGGAAGCCAATCAAATAGCATAAAGAACTGTCAAGAGAAGCTAGTTTGTGGTCCTGGAGTACATATGCTAATGTATGTGTACAATACCAATTCCTACCATTAACTAAACATAATATTCTGTCACCCTCTAGTGGTGGGTCTACAATACCATGGTTCTGATAGTAATGATAAAAGGTTTTCTCATTGCATGTCTGCTGGAAGACCTTATCATAGGTAGGAGAATCTAGGCTTCAATGTTTGATGGCCTGTGTGTACAGATTTGTAATTTTGGTCTCCACTGCATATATCTGTAAATGAATTGTATCTTCTAATTTCATGCCAGAAAATAGAGATGTAAGTTGTCTTTATTCCCTTTGGTAACATTAACTAAAAAAGGGTGTTTTTTTAAAAAAAGTACTTCTATACTCTTCTCTTTGGATAAGGCAGACTGAATTCCAGCCTGCAAAGTTACTGAACATGACTGTGCACTTGAAGCCCATACTGTATAATCAAATCCCTTCCTTCTTAATTCCCACTATTACCCTTAATAAAAGTCCTTGTCTAAAACCAATGCTGTATGGGACAAGTGCAGTGCCCATTCAAATCCGTGGAAGCAGTAATTGTGTCCAAAACAATAAAGTGACCTATGTATCATATACATCTCTTGCTATATTTGACAGTAAAGTGACATACCAAACCCAAAATATTTGACAGCTATTGTATTAGCTTCAGCAATATTTAAAAAATCTGTGTTTCTGACCCAGCCTTAGAAAATGCAGAAAGTGCAGTAAGATGGAGAATAGCATTTAATGGGTTCCTTCAGATCACATATGATTTAAAGAATCCTAAGTAACAGCAAAATACTTGCTTTGAAACTGAAGTGGTGTACTTTTCATTGGATCAGGAAGCAGTGAAACATATAGAAAGCTGATTGATAGCTTGAGACAGCTGGAACAGTCCCTTTTGATCCCTTTGCAGACACTCTTCTCAGAGGTAAAGCAAGTGTTATTCATCTCTGACCTGAGACTGTACAATTCCTCTTAACATAATTTGGTATTTCAAGTATTAAATGATACTGAGTATCTGATATCTCTGTAGTTTTATCAGTATGGACCATGCATTTGCTGCATATGTGTGAACCCAGAGTTACCCAATAATTAAATTCGTTCACTGTATCTTTGTTGAAGCGGTGTATGGCAGCATCTTTGTCGTCCCAAATGAAATGTAAGTATGTACCAGTATGTCACAAATAGTGCCACAAAGGCTTTTTCATACCTCCTCACCAGGAGGAATCGTTTAACTGATCTCTCCTTAGACACTTCAGGAGTAATTATCCCTCTATCCCTCAGATAGACCCTTCCAGCCACTTCATGGAAAGGCAAGATGTTTTCATGAAGGGATGATGCACTCAGTAAAACTTCAAGTTTCTCAGGAAAGAACACAGTACACGCCTCCTGTAATGTGTAAAGAGCTTGGGATGCTCAAGAGGAGGGCCCAGACCATGCTGCTTATTAGCAAACCTCCTGAATCTCTGAAATTTTGGCAAATCTGCCAGTCTTTGCACCCACACTACAAATACAGCTGGGAAGAGAGGGGGGAAATATTTCTCATGTCACCATGAATATTAGTTCAGTGCTTAAAAAATAATACCAAAAAACTGGCAGATTTTGCACTTACTTTCAGGTTTTATCGTTTACTCTCTGTGGGTTTTTATGTCTGTTTCTGAATCCTGCAAACATGCACATAATACATATTGCACACGTGTACACCCACATGTGAGCAGAGCAGTGTAGATCCACAGAGGCAGATACCTGCATTCATTTTATCATATTCATTTAATTTCCCTTCATTTGATGGAGAAAACAAGGTTTTTTGCTAATGGTACTGCAGTTACACTTTGGGAAAATGAAGTTATCTGTCTCATCTTTATCATCGCATATAATGAAGCAATTTCAGTAGCGCGTGTCAGCAGATTGTTGGTGATGGTACATCCTTCAGGAGGAATACAAATAGACTTCACTGACCCCGGAGTGCTGAGAGTAACATCAAACTTACTCTGACTTGTAAACTGAGCAAACATGACATGGAGGTCACAGAATAAGGGCATATATGCATCTTTCAGCCCTTATTTTGACAAAGTGACTTCTTTCTCCAGAGGGACATTTCTGCCATTTTTTTTCCAGCATGTTTCACCTTTCACTGGCTATTAATCCCAGTAAGACTTAACTGAAAATTATTATTCTCACATATAAGCTCAGAGGACTTAATTCTTGAATTATTTTCATCATTTATTTGAGCACACAGAGTTAGCACTCAGGACGTCTAAGAAAATAATGGTATGGAAAACGAGTTAACAGATTGAGTTTAAATCAAATGTAACAAGTTAAAAATATTATAACAAAGAGCATTACAAAAATTCATATTCATTAATGAAATTTTTTTATTACTAGCAGCTTTAAGAAATAAGGGTAGACCATAACATTTTTTACAATCTGTGCATTTTCTAATATGAAGTATTCTTCCAGCTTTAGTAAGATAGCTTCCCTGTACCTGATGCAGTCGAACATGTATATAGACATCAGTTTTAAACAGAATTTTGAGAACTTTATGAACTGGATTAACAAAGGAAGTTTTGCTAAAAGTTAAATTATTCAGAATATTCCTATAGTTGTGAATGTATGGCACATGCAACATGTTTGATACAGGCGTGGATAGCATCCCAGCACAGAATACTTCAAAACAAATGTATCAGCACAACAACTAGCATATTTATTCAATGCAGTAGAACAGCTGTGAATGGGATTTAGCCTCTTCATCATGTTAGCTTACTGATAAAGCACTGGTAGCAGATATCAACCTAAAGGACACTGAAATTCTTATCCCCAGTTTGCAGATGGGAAAATTTGAAGATCATTGCAGACTTTTGCTGGAACCCACTCTCCTGAATCTGTTTTCCATCAAGTTTGATGACAATAGTAGTGGCTGCTTATATGAACAAATGTGACAGGCTTCATTGTCTTTGCTGCGTATGTTATTAGGTCAGTGATGCCAGTTCCAGGTTTGGAAAAAGCTAAATGTCAGGCTAGACCAGGAAGCAGAGGGGCTAAATTCTATTTTTACAATGCTGAAGAGAAATGTGTAAGGTAAACCGGATTAATTATTTTCCTAGTGTAATAACCAAACTCCATGTCAAGGGCACTTTGATGGTCCAGGTATGTGTTTTCCCATGGTGAGACTCTTAAAGAGACTTCAGGGAGGAGAACAGCAGCTTTTTGTAGCTTCTAAGCATTGTCTGTTTTTTGTGTTTCTCCACAGAGCTACAGTGAACCTGTTGATGTTAAAGCCTCCCCACAACCACAGATGATGAATTCAAAGCAGTCAGTGTTTCATGGGCCCACCCAGGCTCATTCTGCACTGTACCTCAGTTCCCACTACCACCAACAACCAGGAATGAATCCTCACATCACTGCCATGCATGCCAATATCCCCAGGAACATAGCGCCCAAGCCCAACAACCAAATGCCAGTGACTGTTTCCATAGCAAACATGGCTGTGTCCCCACCGCCACCTCTTCAGATTAGCCCCCCTCTGCACCAGCATCTCAACATCCAGCAACACCAGCCAATTTCAATGCAGCAGTCCATTGGAAACCAGCTACCCATGCAGGTCCAGTCTGCTTTGCATTCACCTACAATGCAGCAAGTAAGTTTGAGCTTTTCAGTTGTCTGGGCAAATGTGGGGATTTTTTTGATGGAGAAAGCTATGCATAAGTTGACTAATAGAAGTGTGTCTGTAGATCCATCTACAAATCTGGGAGTACTCTGAAATGTAAGTGAAATGTTAAGTCTTTGGGAGACATATTTTACAAAGAAAACACAGGCACGCCTAGAAAAAGATGTGATTGTACCATATGCTGGTATCTTTGTGCTGACTGTGATGTGGAACATGGGAACGTGAGGCAACACAGGTTTTGTTAAACATGCTAGATTAAGTGAAGACGAGTAATTTGGTTTATGATGCATTCATAACTTTATTTTCCTAGATAGACATAGCTTTTTTTTTTTACTGGAAATAAGTGGGCTGTCCTCAGTGGTGACTTTTTTTTTTTCATTCTGAGTGTTTTGGGTGGTTGATTCTCAATACATTTCCTAGGAGTTCTGAATGAATGCAGGCCAACCATAGTATTGTGACTTTTGGGTCCAGGCCTATGGAGGGTTAGAGCAGATTAACTCCACTGATTTCATGAGAGAAAATTTCCTTTTTTTATTGGCTGAGATCTGACTATCAATAATAAGATCTTGCTTTGCAAAGAAGCTTTAGAATAAAAATGTTTTGGATGGATTTGCAAGGATCTACAAAATTGGTATACACAAAACTTGCCAGTTCTGGTTGATAATACATAGTCATGAACTTGCTACATGTTTTGAACATCTCCATAAATTCACCTTTGCTAAGCATTTGCATTTGTTTTCCAAACCAGAAACATTTCAACTCAAGATTGGTCTTTGGAGATGGGAATACCTAAACACAAAACATAGCTTCTAGTTGAGAGAACAATTTAACAGGGAAAGAAATTTTCCAAAGCAGGAGAAAAAAAAAAGTTGAAAGCAATCTGGACTGATAAATTCAGTTGTGCAGAAGGTAAACCAAGGTGTGTTCAGGATGATCTGGATTTTTTCAGACTTTGATCTTAGTCTCAAGAGTGATTTGGAGTAATCAGACAAAAAGGAAGATTTGTAAAGTGTTTACAACTTTTTCCTAGTCTAATTTATTTTTCACTCTTAGAGTAAATAGATTCAACAGACTTATGACCACACAAATGTGGAGTTTTTTGCTGTCACGTGTTTCTGAAGGTTTTCCTATTCATTAGAATCCCAGTGTCCTGGTGTGAATGTCCTGGAAGAGCCCATGTTAAAGTCTCAGAGAAACTCAGGAGTTAACTCCAAGCCTGGGCAGTAAGACTTGGCTAGGGCAAGTCCTAGACAGGTGAGCCACGATGGTCTGTCTGGAGATCCTAAGCCTGGTGCAATCCTGGTTAAACCTGAAGGCTCAGCGCAATGAGAGACAAAGCAATGGACAGAGACTCAATGCAATAGGTTGGTTCATTTAGCAAACATGAAAAACTACATCAGTAAGAGCAGCCTGTTGAGATTGTATAGTCATATTTCAGTGAGTTTTTATCAGAGTGATTCAGTCTTCTAACTTCAGATTGTTTGCCAGGTTTAGTGTCATTTGTACATGTCCAATGCAGAGCTGTGGAAGACCAAACCCCTTATGTCTTTTCCAGAATCATTGATAGGCATAATTTACTGAACAGATTTGAATCTGGCTTTATTTATTGAATTAATAGTACAGTAGGGGGTAGCAAAAGATGTAATGCAGATGTTATATACTTACATATGTACACATACAATATCATCCCTATTGTATGAATCCATAATATGAGTCTTCTGATGTTTTATTTTACGAAGTTGCACACATGTGGCATATGATGTGCACATCAATGGCTTGAGAGTACTTTCACTCATCAGTGAGAGCTGTGGCATGCAGATGAGTTATTTCTAGCTTGAGAGAAAACACAAAGCACTAGGTTGTAGAAAACAGGTGTGTGGAAGTCAATATGTACCATGATGAATCTTTTCCTTTACTAAGTACGACTACAGTAAGTAAAAAACACTGTACCTCTGTGTTCATTGTTAAACTCATGAAAGGTTAGCGTAAATACTTTTTACCAACTCATATTCCTTAGTCAGAAAGGCTTATGCTTATAATGAAGATACCATGATGAGCTATTTCTGAGCTTCACTCAAGATGACAGATGCTTATTACCTGTTGAAATGCTACACTGCCAATCTTAACTCTATTTCTCTTTAAGCACTGTAGAACATCTACAAGCCAGTTTATATTTCTTACTCTCCAGCTTTTGTTTCAAAGTAATACAGTTTCTGAGCTCTGGAAAATCCATATAATGTCACCTTGGAACATTTGTAATATTTCTTTTACTTATTATTTTTTTAAGCATATAACAGTTTACACCATTTGTGAATTGAGTTTAAATAGCAAATCCATTTCTTTTGAAATGTGATATTGGCAAAGACAAAGCAAAAAGTATGTTAAATTTTAGAGCAAAAGGTGTACTAACACCATCATGATTTGCCATGCCGGAGCAGAACAGCTCCTGTCCAGTCTCAGGTGTGACTCTCTAGATATACTCACGAAATGTTAGAAAACACTATCCTCAGAATTTCATACTGCATTAGAGCACAGAGGACAGGCTGGACACAAGGAGGCGTGTAGCAAGAATTCAAGAAACTATAACTTGAAAGTAAAGGCTCTGCTCTCCCCTCTGCTCAAAATTGAGCCAACACTGCTGAACAGAGAGCATGCTAAGGAGGAAAAGATGTAGTGGAGAAAAAAGCAAGCCCTCCAAATGATGACAGCAGCATGGAGGCAACAGCAATGAGGACAAAGAAGAGGCCTAGCACCACCCTGTATGTGAGGAGAGAAGGAGGACTCTGGATATGAGGTTCAGTCCCCCACAGCATGGTGCAGACCACTCCACCTTTTAAAAAGACAGACAAGAAGAATGGGAGAATACGTAATCTGATAAAGCAGAAGCTATGGTTGCATTTAATTAAACATTTTTCAGTTCCTCTTCCCTCAGCTGTTTGATTTCCTCCATGCTAAAGGTGTGACCACCCTAAGCCTTTTCCAAAGACTCCAGTGGGCATCCAATTTGTGTAAGAAACTAGAACAGAAATTAACATTCCACTCCCTACAGTGTGACTTGCAACAGGAGACATTTTCTTTTCAGAAGCATCACCACTGCTCATACCAAACAGACTAATACACTTTCAGAAGTGTATTACTAGTCACACTTACTAGTGTGACACTCAGTGGTGGTAGTCTTGGGGGAGCCCTGCTCTCTACTTATCCTCTGCTTTAACACTGTCGATCTGGGAGATTTGGTCTCTCATTTTCTCCAGGAGAGGGAGCATAGTTTGTTATCAAATACCATCTTGTACTATGTCTGAAGGACTGCCAGCTCCAAAAAAACCCACATAAAGACCCAGATTTCAGTCCTGGCAGGCAGCAACACACTTCTCCAAAACCACTGTGCATGAAATCCACAAACTCTTCTGTGCACAACTTCAAGGAGGGACAGATATGAAGTGCTGACCTGAGGAGAGAGCTCTGCCCCCGCTGCTGCTAGAACCAGGAGCTGATCTTCATCAGCTCCACAGGGAACAGCACATCTTCCTCCACGTCCAGCAGCCTTCGCCTGCACGGGTGCAGCTGTCAAACCAAGGGAGACTGCCAGCTGGAGAAGGTCAGTGTCCTCCAGGAGTCCACAAAAACTACAGAACAACAAGATCAGAAGTGATGGTAGCCAAAAATCCTCAGTGACTGCACAATTTCTGTTATTTTTAAAATCAATTAATTCTGTGGAGTGTGCAGCTGTTGCAATGCATCCAAATTGTTCTGAAATGCACAAGGCAAACTAAAATTTAGCTATTAGCATTTTGGTCATATGCCTAGCATTAGTAAGTATTTTTTAATTTCTTTTTAACAACCTTCTCTATTTTGAGCTATCTAAATATTTTTTGAAACTTCTGCAAAGTAGACTATTTTGTCTCTTTTCCTTTCTCTTCAAAAACAGTTAATGAATAAATTAAATAATGGGCACTACTGTAGACCTCTGGGGTTCTCGTTTACAATGTTAATAATTTACACTGTAAAAAATGACCATTTAGTTCTATTGTCATACATAGGTTTAAATTAGATCCTGAATTTTTTTTATATTTGACATCTAATTCTGAAATATACTGTATTTTTCTTAAATATTATTAATAGGATATGTGTTAAAGTTTTCCTTTGCTGAAGTCTAAATCCACTGTGTAGCAGTTTTTCTTTCATCCACTTTTGACACACGGGAGGAATCACAGTAGATTAGAAGAGTGTGATTTGTCTTTGTCTCATGTGGGCATCTTATCACTGTATTATTTTCTGACTGATACAGAGTTGCTTCTCTCCAGTCTGTTTCTTAGGTTTGACGTGATGTTTAATTTTTACTTAGTTGGGATCAGGTGATCTGAATCTTAACCCTTGTCATTCAAATCGGCACGCTTTCTCCAAAGTTCAGGCATCTGAAGTTGCAACCTGTTTTGTCTTGCAAAGTCGTTCTTTCCTTTCTCTAGTCACACAGACATTTGTTTCTTTCTGAGCATCCCCCACTCTCCAGCCTCTTGTACTCTGCTGTTTTGTATGGAGAGTGATGAAACTCCTCCCTCGCTCCCTCTCAAATATGCCCAGTCCTTGTTAAGGAACCCTTTTAAGTAGACCTACTGGAAGCATCTCCTTCCCTGCTCAAAATCCTCCACCCAAGCATTGGGTGGAATGGTGAGTCCCATTACAATCTCTGTCCCACTTTGGTTCACAAGTAGAGCAAGAAAAACTCGATTTTTAATGTCTAGTAACCATGGCTGCAAGTGTATGCATAACAAAGAAGCAGAAGATTAATGTATGTCACTTTAAAAAAAAAAAACAAACCTCATTTCAGTCTACTTTTAGGTATTTCTTTTCCTTTAGAAAATTAATGTATACAGCAAGACGATTGCATGGCCTGCCAAAAATAATAGCCTCATTTTTTCTGGTATATATTATATACAGTAAACTCAGGGACCTGCTGTATTTGTCCAGATTTCTTCCTCTTTTTTTGTTAAGCTTTGTCTTCGAATGAGGTCAAGAAAAAAAAAAATCATTAATATCTGTCAACTTCCTTTATAACCTTAAGGAAAAATCTTTGTATGATATCACACAGACAGATTTTCAATTTCCTTGTGTAATAAACAGATGCTTTAGGATTTGGATGTAATTTAAAGGTTTAAAATATCACATTGAGATTGATGAATAAATCAGTTGTGAAGACAAAAACATTGATGCCTGTTGAAAATACCTCTCCAGACAGGCAGGAAATGAAATTAGTTCCCAGTAAAGTGTGGAGATGAGGATCACTGTTTAGTTCTGCTGCAGGCTTTTTAGGACTTGCTACAGTGGCACAACGAAACTGCTAGGGCTACAGAAATCTAATTAAAGAGCAAATGTCCCTCCTGACATCGAATTAATCTTTATCAAGTTCCCTATTTTTATTTCAATCTGGAACAAGAAAATGAAATTTAAATTTCTAGGCATGTTGCAAAACAGTTGGTGATTTTCTCTTGAGCATTACAATGCAAAAACATTCAGCATTGTTTAATTAGACCTCGAAGCACTCATTTTCTGAGTGCTTTTTATTTCAGCATTGTTTGTTAAGGGCTTACATAAATAATACACAAATATTTACTACAAGCTTGGTACAAGGCTATGTCCCTCTGTTGTACAGATCTGTATTTCCGGAGTTTTTTCTATTGATGAAAAAGCTGAAGTAATTATTGTTTACATTTTAAACATCACCATACTTTATCGGTCCTTCATATTGAGTGCAGGTTTCTTAAATTACTCTACCTCAACAAGCATACTTTCCAGTACCTACATTATTATATTTTTGCTGCTGGCATTCTGGTAGCCCTCAAGTGGGTTTGGTGCTGCCCCGAGCTGGCCCCTGCCCACTGGCATGCCCACACAGCCTGCAGGACAGCCTGCTTCTGGAGCTGGAGCCTAGCTCAGATACCTCTGCACCACGCCAGGCCCCAATCCCAGGCAGTTATAAACCAGACAGACTTGCCAGGTGCAAGGTGAAAGTGTTGTTACCCCTTTTTTGCAGATAGGAGTATTAAGTTTGGATTCATGGTCCCAACCTTAATATGAGAGGTATCAATTCAGTCCAAGCGTGCGTGCATGCAAGTTTTGCTGAAGAGAGCCACAGCGAGCTGGCTGTCGTCACACAGAAAACCTGAGAAAAGACGAGAATTAGTTACATCCCCACCCAGTACCAAGCTGACATTTTAATGACAGGACCATACTCCCTCATCTAAACTATTCTTTTGTGCTAAGTACAGAAGAAATCTAAATGATACTGGACCGATGGTTTCTTCCTCTGTCTCGGAGGAACTGTTTCTTCTTGCTGCATGAGTACTTGAGTCTCTGTGCCTACTTGCCTGCTTGCATGCTTTTTTTGCTGGAGCTACTGACCCTATATAGTGTTTTTCTTGTATATATTATTGTTTCATGAAGACTGATAAGAGATCACTCAAGGGCTTTTCTACCAAAGGTAAACCTGAGTGCCTCAGGGTAGGATGTGTTTCTGTGGTTAGTTTCCTCTTACAGCTAAATTAGAAAGGCTTTATGGGTGATGTTTTGTGTAAAAATGATGATGGTGATATACAAGCCCATTCTTCTGCCTTCTAATTACATGGCACTCCAATTAAAGTCATTGGGAAGTCTGCTCAATTATGATTTCCTTTGGATTCATTGCAGGCATTGAAGTTGTTTATGAAGCCTGATGTGCAGGTTTAGAGCCTGGTGAAAAGGCAGTGTACAAAGCATGGGAGTTACAGTCACCATGAGTGGGTTTTATTTTACCTTATTAGCAGGGCAGTATATGTTACATGACAACTAGATGCTGAATTCAGCTCGTGCACTTGCCCATGGTCTATTTCTTGGAATCATCAGGGACCAAATGAGGCTTCAGAGAGCAAGGTGCTGAGGTGTGACTTGGGATGTCCTCCATACAGAAGAGGTTTTGGAAGAAATTTGCACTCATTTAGAGCCTAGGCAAAAATCTATGGTCAGGATGAGTGGAATGAGGTGACAGTGTACATGAGAAGCATGGTAGGGCAGGACACCCAAGGGATATCCAGGGAAGAGCTGGAGTATAATGCACCAAGAAAGAGGGAAGTGAAGCAAGAAGTGGCATGTTCTATTTGAAGGAAGCTCATTTCTGGGGGTGAAGGGGGCAAGGCGGAAACTGAGAATACTCATTTATCCTGATTAAAGGTAGTGTGGCTGAGTTCTTAAACCCACAGAAAAAAAACAGGTCTTCTCTAAATTCCTGTCTTAATGAAGTCTGTGTATATAAAGCGATTGCACATAATCCACTAGAATTTAAAACAAAAAGCTATGACATTTCATCCTTTCTATTCTGCCTGTGGACTTCGGTCAAATGGAGTGGATTTTCAAACTAGGTATCTTTGTTCAACTTCAGTTTCTGATTTAGCAGCTACACATTCAGTTAACTTGAGTGGAAATTGGATGCCCTTGCCCCAGGAAGGAGTTTGGTCTGGTGTTTTTTCAGCAGGCATTGATTGCTTTTGTACAGCATTCTCATACTTTTACCCAGTGTAGTTCTTCTAACTTTATGCGAACATGATGTACATTTATATAGGGTGAATCAGATATACTAGCCTTGAAATTTCAATTGTTCTCCTGGTTTTGAAACACATCATTTAAACATTCTCATATATCAAAAGAGCTAAAAAGTATTATGACTTTTCATATGAGAGATATTTCAGGGAGCAGGTTAGATGTCCCTTTGTAACTTCTGCTTTTTTTCGTCATCCTCAAAAAGCAAGTTATTCTGTGCTACTTTTACTACATTAGTCCAACAACTGTTAAAAAGCTTTGGTTGAATTTCTGTTTAGTTGAGAGAGAAGTACAAATAAAAGAAGCAGCAGATGGTCCCTTTGTGACTGAACGAAGAAAAAGGGTTTTGAGAACAATATGTGAATAGGTGTAGTCTAATAAAACAGTCAGCCACCTGCTGCCTACATCCTTCAAAAAGATTCTGTTGCATATTCTGGGAATTAACGACTTGTGTGTGTCCTTATGCGAAATCTCAATGGAAGCTCTAAGGAGCAAACAGACCTTTTTGCCCCAGTGTTGATTGCGTTGTTCTCTTGGTTTTGAATTGTTTCTGCTCTGTCCCTTTTAGTTCTACCCTGTGACTGTGTAGCAGCTAACGTTTTGGCAGTGTTTCATTTCTCAAACCAAAGAAAGATATTAAAACTTAAAAAGCACCTTCACCTTCTTTCCTATGTTAAGTTTGATAACCTGAAGTACACCTAGAAAATAAGTAATATACGATTTCACAGCACAAAATGTTTGGGGTTTTTCAATGCACCCAACCTGTTGCTTGGTTTCTGTACGTTGTAATGTACTTGCTTTCTCCTCTAGGGATTTTCTCTTCAGCCTGATTATCAGAATATCATCAATCCAACATCAACAGCTGCACAAGTTGTTACCCAAGCAATGGAGTATGTTCGTTCAGGGTGCAGAAATCCTCCAGCGCAGACTGTGGACTGGAATAATGACTACTGCAGTAATGGGTAAGCAGCCAGTGAATGCCACCTTGTGTTGAGCAACATTCATGACACAAGTATCTGACAGAGAATTTTGAAACAGCTTTGTTGCATGTTTCCCTACCGTATTTCAGAAGTGTCTCCATGATGGCACTGTATTCCCTCAGCAGTTAGACTGTTGTGAGAGAAGAAGTTTTCAGTACATACATTTATTAGACATTGTTGTCACCTTATCACAGCACATACACTCTGGTCTTAGAGAGCTTCCGTTCCTTAGAAAATCAAAACTGAAATCTTAAGGAGAAAGTGTTGGAAAGAAGTTTCAAGATCACTACCTCCTACTTGGAAGGCAAATGGTGTGAACTGTTGTCTCCAAATATTCCATTGCTGAGGAGAGCTTGCTGCCAGTGAAAACAACTACTTTGAGTCATGAACACCCACATCAGTGAGATGCAGGGGTGATGCATGTGATACAAGGTACATGGAAGGGAATGGCACGAAGATCCCATGGTTGCAACCAGAAACAAAACATCATACCTCTAGGAGCTCTATGCCCCTACTGTAGTGTTAGTAGCCCCTTCAAACCCTCAGCTCCTCTACAGTGTGGTTTTCGTGGAGCCACATTACAGTACCAGAAACTGCCTGGAGACATTTAAGACTCTGTACAGAAGGTATCTTAAACAGACTTAAGGTAACTTAAAACAGAAGTTTTAAATGATAGCTGTCGTACCTTGTGAACATGTCCAGCAGCCTGACCTCCCCTTAACCTTGGCAGGAATCCCGAAGGCAAAGGCAGATAAAAGCTCTTGGTTGCTACCCAAGTATCAAGTCCAGCCCAGACAAATGAACACAAAGCAGAACTAGAGACCAGTTTCACCCACTTCATTTACTCAAACTGAGGATTTCACTTGCATTATTGCTTTAAAGTGTTTCTGGAACTGTCTATCACTGTTGCCCCATGACTTGCCCACTTGTTCAGCAGAACGTTCTCGCTCCTGTGCTGTACCACTATAATGTCTGTTCGTCTGTGCTGCAGGCCCTTGTAGGAGCCTACTCAGTCCACAGACATTTATACCCACTGAAACTGAGCTGTGAATAGACTGTCCTCTGTCAAACAGGCCATAGCCACCTGTGGCTTTGACTCCTGGTCTCTTCTGGAAAAAGCAATGTGCTATCATTGCCAGCAGTGCCCTCCAGGTCCCCAGTGGCCATAACTTTCCCTCAGCAGAAGCTGTCTCTGAGCAGACCCTGTATGTACCCTGTATAGATACAGCTTTGTGAACCAGTGTGCATGGGTTTAACCTTTCTCTGCTATAGCATTGCTGTAAATTGCCCATGCAGTGTAGCTTGCTCTGGCTGCTCCTAGACTCCAAAGCAAGTAAGCAGTAGAGCTGTGGAAGAGCTCTTGGTGCCTGGGTTTCGGCAAGGAAGCAGGAGATTGAGAGTAAAACTTTTTCCCCAGAAAATCTCTGCAGTGCAAACCAAGCCTCATCAATGATGCTGCTTCTGCTTTAAATGATATATATTTGTTCCCTTGCACATGCTTACTTGAACCTGCCAACCCAACACGTTTTGACTATGTCCACAATGGTAAATAAAACAGGCCACAGATGTCAATGATTGGCACCCATGTTCATGTAACTAAGCTCTCCGGCCTTCTAAAGGAAAGTAGCCACATCATAAGGGCTGCTTATGGAGTATCGTTCTGAGGCCTGTGCTAAACCCCCAGCTGTACCTGTGTGGTTTGTGCAAGAGGGATAGTCAGTGCTACCATCCTGCTAGTATAAGTCATCCCAAACCAGGGCTTAAGCCCATGTCCCAGGCCTGGGTAGTTTAGAGCCAGATGTGGTCTCCCAGTTGCTACATGCAACAATGGCACTAGATTTTTCTTATTATCACCATGGTAATGCAGCTACACTTCAGTGATATGTTTGGAATTAATGACATGCGGTAGGGTTGTGAGGTTTTCTTTGCAAGAATAGGACTAAAAATTTGATGAATTTTTGAAAAAAACCCACATTTGTTCTTTTTCTCTTTGAACAGGGGCATGCAGAGGGACAAAGCACTCTACCTTACCTGAAAATCTGAAACACCTTTCCACTGAGGAATGCAGGGAAGTCTTTTCATCATGGATTGCTTTATGCAGTCAAGGCAGTTCTGCATTTTATTAGGAAATACAAGTTGCTAAGCACTTAGGACTATTTGAGCTTGTGGGTCACCCACTCTGGAAAAAATAGTCTTGCTTCTTTCTTTTTCTTCCACCCCCACCCCCATTTTTTCTCTTTCTTTCTCCTTTCCACCCCTACCCTGAGATCCTTTAACGGACATTGCTTTTCTTCTTCCCTGAAGGAAACTTGGACCATTCAGATTTTATGTTGGTTTTTGCTGTGAAGTGCTGCGATAGTAACTGCCTTAGCAACTGTAGATGTCTCGGATAAAAGTCCTGGATTTTCCATTGGTTTTTCATAATGGGTGTTTATATGAAACTACTAAAGACTTTTTAAATGGCTTGATGTAGCAGTCATAGCAAGGTTGTAAATAGCATCTATGTTACACTCTCCTAGAGTATAAAATGTGAATGTTTTTGTAGCTAATTGTAATTGAAACTGGCTCATTCCAGTTCATTGATTTCACAGTAAGGGTTAAATTGGCAAACATTCATATTTTTACTTCATTTTTAAACAACTGACTAATAGTTCTATATTTTCAAAGTATTTGGGGAAAAAAAGTAAAATAATCCCAAATGATAGTAATTAAAAATATTGGCTTTGTCTCATGATATAAACATAAAAAACCTAGGGAAAAAACCTAATGTTAATAAAGAGCAAACACATTTATTTTGTACTGCCTAAAAAATGCTTCTTTTTTTTAAAGAAAATCACTTTACGTGTACTGGTTAGTAAACGTCATTTAAGTCCTTTTATGTAAAAAACTGCCAAATGCTTACCTGATATTTTATTAGATGCAGAAACAGATTGGAGACAGCTAAATTATAACCTTTACATATGGCTATGTATTATTGTTTCTTCATACTGTGTCTGTATTTAATCTTTTTTATGGAACCTGTTGCGCCTATTTATGAAATAATAAATATAGGTGTTTGTAAGTAAATTTGTTAGCATTTTAAAGAGGTTTCTTTGATGCTTTAACTTTTGCTGGCACAAATTGTTCACAATTGATGTGAATACTTTATTTAGTTTTTACAGTGACATATATAACACAAAACCTGCTCTACTGGCAGAAAATGAAGGTAACCAATACTTATTTCTCTATTTCCTTGGTTGTTAAGATTAAAAAAAAAAGATATTTTAAGTAATTCCCTTTTTAAAGCCTTGTAGCAGGAACCAGACTCGAACCAACAAAACTAACTGAATAAAACTGCATAATGCTTCTCAAAACTTCATCAGTTTGGGTCAATTAGTCAAGTGGAATGAAAATATTACCAACAGAAATATTATCAAATATGTTTCAGCCATTTTATTATACATGCAAAAGATCCCACAGAGTTGGAGGGAGCATATCATAAATACATCCTAAAGTGAAAGGTTAAGGTCAACAGCCACAGGGAAAGTGATTAAAAAAAAAATCCCAAAGAAGGTAGTTTGTCAATGTTTTGGATCAGGGATAGCTCTGAAAATATATTTCTGGAGGATTTCATCCTGGATGCCTGTCCAATTAATGGAGAATACCACTGATTTGTATTTTCTGTGTGAAATTAAAAAAAAACAAATCGGATAAAATAAAAATTATGCAATGCCATTGATTTTCCTTTAAAAACAAAACAGAAACAAAGGCATGCTTGCTTTGGAATGATTTCAGGCAATGTACCTTCGGAATCACTTGGCATGTAATAACTAATAAATAATGCAGATCAGATGTGATTACTCAAATGACTGTAGCTGAGAGCTCTAATTTTCCTGTCTTGAAACTGTATGAGAACTCATGATTAAATTCACCGTTTATTGTTTGTCTGTTTAGTACTTTAGAAATATACCAGCACTACTAATTACCCAATGTCTTCTATTTATTATGTTATAGTAAACTACATTTTCCACTTATATTAATTCTAAAGCGAGAAGATAATTACCGGGGATGAGAAAAATCAGCTTTGATTTTGACAGGCAGTTTTCCTTTGTCTTTTATGGAAAAGAACTGTGTTATCTCCATTTCTTTTACAGCAGGTGTGCAGTCACATGAAGTTGTTAATTTCGGTATCCAAGCAGAGTTCAAAATACAAGAAAACTTTAATGTAAATAAAAAAAAATACATCATGAATAAAATACTTATTCTGTATGAACCTCTGGCTATTTCATGTCTCTCAGTCTGTAAGCAGGGAAACCTACGGTGTGTTTACTGTGGAGCACCTTACCCATCGGGTGGTTTGAGTGTGGTTTTGTGCCTGGGCTGTGTTCAGGTGGGACAGCATGCTGGAAGAACAGCAGTTTTGGCTGGGGTGATATTGAAGCCACTTTGTTCCAAAGGAAAGATCCAATTTTGATGCATAAATGTCAGTTCTTAATGTCTGGCCACAGGGAAAGCAATGCTTGCCAGCCAAAGGTAATCTGCTGTTTCTTTTCAGCTCCATATTGACAGATACAAATTGTCAAAAGAAGGTGCCCGAAAGGCTTTTCAAGCAAATAGAACTCCACTGGGGTTCATGAAGATATGCCCCATCCTTTGCTGGAGTCCTGTGGCTTAGGCACCCCTGTAGCACATGCACCCAAGTCACTGGTTGTAAGTCACCATCTGTCATAACAATGATAATGCGAAACCACTTGGGAACGAAACAACCTACACATTGAAGCAACACAGTTACATCAAGTAAATATGATAAAGACATCTGCCAAAGTGATAGCGACCAAGGGAAATAATGTCTTCCATTATTTGAAATTATTATTTTTTGAAAGTTATTTTTAAAAAGTGGTAGGCGAAATGCAAGATTAGAAACATAGGCACTTGTGAAGATATTAGTCCCCTTTGCTTCCACCAAGGTAAAGAGAGGTTATGAAAAGTAAAAGCTCTTCAGATTTGCTGCTGCTCTCCAAGTGCCCTGTTCTGGTGACTTAAGTCCCTGTCTCTCCATCACCAAACTCTCAGAGGTTCGAGCAGAAATCCTATCCAGCTGCTGACTCTGACCCAAAGAAGCTCTTCAAAAGGACCTGCTATAGGATTTCCCCACCCCACATTCATCTACAGGCAGTAATTCATGGAGGGCCCCAGCCATTCAAAATGATAACTAATGTATTTGTGCCCACTTCTCTCTCTCACCAAATACTAGTTCCTGATTCCAGTGGTGTCTGTGCCAAATACTCTCTGTGAGGCTCCTCTGTAAATAGGAAACCCAACAATAAAAGAGCTCATTACTGGAAGGTAAAACATGCTATTACCACCTTCTTCAACCTTCTGAGACTTCATCTCCACCTGAACTACCATCTCCAAGACTGTATCTGACTATTTCTTACCCGATCTTGTAAACATGGCAGATCCATGGAGATCTCTGTCTGTGTTTTGGGAAGATGGAGTAGGTAAAAATCCTTATTTTGCACACGCTGTGAGAAGCAGCTAAAGAGCTGCATGTAACACATACAGGAGTTACTCCCCAGAACTCCCATTTATATGTAGAGATACATACATAAATACAGATATATGTATAGAGATAGATAGATAGACAGATACAGAGATTACAACTATTGCCCTGTTAATTATCTATCAGATGTCTTTGAGACCGTATGCATTTAAATAAAATGTTATTTATTGTTCGTATAGCCGTGTGCTGGCAGTGCTGCAGGAGGTGCCAAGCACCTTGGAGAACATGAGGTGCTTTGTGTCAAGTCTCACAGACAGCATTTGCTTTCCTTTGCAGAGTCATGTATTTTATTATTACCCAGCAGCACATTAAATCACAACTCAAATGTAGTTCTTATTCCACTGACAAGAGGACAAGTGAGAACAATGACTTGTAACATTTCAGAGTCTGTCACAGTTACTGCCTAATTAGAGAAACCCACTAGCAAATGTGCATCTGCATGGATCCTGCGACTGTCATCATTTCACATTCTATTAAGGGCTTGCTGCGATAGACACTTTACAAAGAAATTCTGTTCAGGCTAATACCACGCTGGCAAACATGTAATTGGCTAGAAAATAAAATTGGGGGGGGGGGGGGAAGAGAGGAAGGGGAAAAGAAAAGGAAACCTTCCTATTTGGAAAACAAGCTGTGTGCAAAAATCCACATATACTGCAGAGAAGATCCTTACCCTCTGACAATTGTGTGTTTACAACGAGTCTGAGCATAATTGCTCTGATGGGCTGTCAAGGAAAAGATTAATTTGGCAAAGATTAGTATTGACTTGCTGTTTATTAAGGCTTTTAAACAGCTGTATCTGGCAACATTCCTGTAAGTGCCTGTCATGTCTGAAAATCAGGCTCACACCCGGGTGCTTGCCAGCTGTTGCTAAACAATCTTACCACTTTGAGTATCTTTCTCCAGGCCAAACAGCGTGAGCAAAGTATTGCCAAATGTGAGTCTCTCATCCTGTCACTTTTGGGGGGCTCTGAGAGCTCAGATGTCAGTTGACGGCTCGATGGCTGAGCTGATAGCAGCTATCGGCAGCCGGCGGGGTGGTTAGAGAGGTGCTACACCAACCTGGGCCCCCTGTCGAGGGGCGGGTGCTGCTGTTAGCCACCTCACCAACACAGAAAAACCACAGCTTGCAACTGCTGTAATCTGAAGGGGTTTCAAACCTCTTAGTGCCTACAAAGTTTGGTAGGAGGCAGAACTCCAGAGTGAGTGGTTCATCTCCCCAGGCTCTGTTGGAGAAACGCAACAGGCTGTGAGGCTGTATTAAAGTACAGTAGACGCCGTTAATCTTTATAAAATGAGTCAACATTTTCACATTTTCTTCCTTTTCTCCCCCCTCCCCCGACTGCTGATATACAAAAGTCATAAAAGCCATGCACACAAAATACCCTGGGTCAACGAAAACCTGTAAAAGGAAAGATGTCAGCTGTTATTTTTGTTACGATACTTAAAACATTTCAGCTTGCATTGTAGGCTTTAGTAGCGAGCTCAGAAACAAATAATACCAATAGAAAGAAGGATAAACGGCTGCAGCTGAATGCCAATACAAATAGCCATGTGTTACAAATAAAGTTGATTTGGCCTTTCCAATAGAAGTCTGATTTTCTGGGATTAATCTCGACCTTTTCAAGTTGCATCAGGCTGAAATAAGTTGTCAGAACAGATGTGAATTTTGTTTGCAGAGAACAATTGTAATCCAGTAACCCTTAGAACATCAGCGTTTTCCAGACCGCCAGCCAGCTGAACAGGGAGGATGCGGCCAGCAGTTGCCAAGCACACACAGCGGGCAGGACCAGAGGACTAATGGCCGTGTCCAGAGGCTGAAAGTTTAGGTCAGAAAATTTCAAACGGGAAATGAAGTATTTTCCCTTTAAACTCTGAATTTGCCCAGCAGCACGGTG